GGTGGTGTAAGTGAAGTATCGAGAGTCATAATGTTATCCGATTCCTTTCTTACAAATCCTTTGTGGGAATCTGCTGCTACTGTTTTATCTAGTATTCTTCAGTTCAGTTCTGAGTTCTATCTCGAAGTCCCCATTGCAGTTTTGGTACGTTTGCTTCATTCAAACTCAGAAGCCACTGTAATCGGTGCACTGAATGCTCTTTTAGTCCTGGAAAGTGATGATTCCATGAGTGCAGTAGCCATGGCAGAAAGCGGTGCAATTGAGGCTCTTTTGGAGCTTCTGAGGTGTCATTTATGCGAAGGAACTGCTGCAAGATTGCTTGAAGTTTTACTACATAATGTGAAGATTCGAGAAACGAAAGCTATCAAATCAGCTATCTTACAGCTATCACAATACCTGTTACATCCACAAACTCAAGCTCAACAAGCGAGATTGTTGGCAACTCTTGCTCTTGGAGATCTGTTTCAGAATGAAAGTCTGACACAATCTAGTGATGCTGTTGTGGCGTGTCGTGCTTTGGTGAATGTGCTTATCGATCAACCTTCTGAAGAAATGAAAGTGGTGGCTATCTGTGCTTTGCAGAATCTTGTTATGTCTAGTCGCCCAAATAAAAGAGCAGTTGCAGAAGCTGGTGGGGTCCAGGTGGGACTGGATCTGATTGGTTCAAGTGATGGAGATACATCGATTCAGGCAGCAAGGTTTATTAAGCTTCTTTTCTCTAACAATGCCATCCAAGAGTATGCCTCTAGTGAAACTGTCAGAGCTATAACTGGTAATATATTTTTTTCTCTTACTTGGTTATGCTATATATCTGTAAGGCCCCATTTGATATTGATGCTCTGATTCATCTAATCATGCAGCTGCTATCGAAAAGGATTTATTGGCCAATGGAATGGTAAACGAAGGGTATCTGAAAGCTCTGAATGCTCTCTTTGGCAACTTCCCACGTTTAAGAGCCACTGAACCAGCAACATTAAGCATCCCACATTTAGTGACATCTCTGAAGACAGGCTCAGAAGCAACTCAAGAAGCTGCATTAGATGCACTGTTTCTTCTGAGGCAAGCATGGTCAGCTTGTCCACCTGATGTGTCTAAAGCCCAATCAGCTGCTGCTGCAGATGCAATTCCATTGTTGCAGTATTTGATCCAATCGGGGCCTCCTCGATTTCATGAGAAAGCTGAATTCTTGTTGCAGTGTCTGCCCGGGACATTAACAGTGACAATTAAGCGTGCCAATGATTTGAGACAGTCGGTTGGAAACCCTAGTGTGTACTGCAAGGTTACACTGGGAAATTCTCCTTCAGTGCAAACTAAGGTACTTTTATACTGTCTGATTGGATAAAGTGTTGTCTGGATAAAGGATGTTTAGAAAATATCTAAGAAAATAAAAAAGAAACACTCATATATTATATTATATTATATTATATTATATATAGCTGATGAGATTAAGTTGTTTTTGTTGTGGAATGGGTTGCAGGTGGTATCAACTGGACCAAATCCTGAATGGGATGAGAACTTTGTGTGGTCATTTGAAAGCCCTCCAAAAGGCCAAAAGCTACATATCTCATGCAAGAATAAAAGCAAGATGGGGAAGGCAAGTCCATCTTTATATACCTCAAAAGTTCAAACAATATCTATTACTTCATATGCCCTAAAATAAATGCTATATTTTTCACACAATAAACACACTTAAATTTGTCAAATACGTATAAATTATTAATAGCTTGACTAAATTACATATTTGGTCCCTAAGTGTATAGCTCATTTTTTCAATTTTGGTCCCATAAAGTCTTCTCTTGCGGTTTTGGTCCTTTTTTGAGGTTCTTGTAATGTTTTCTTTTGTCCTTGTTCAAAGTAAAATGAATACTTTTTGCCTTTTGGTCCCCAAATATAGCTGATTTTTGCAAATTTGGTCCGAAAGAAACAGGCATTTTACTTGGTAGAGGGACTACAACATTACAAAAACCTCAAATAATGACCAAAATTGCAAGAGAACAACTTTTTGGGATCAAAATTGAAGATATCAACTGTATTTAGGGACCAAAAATGCAATTAAAGTGAACATGTATTAAAATTAGAGTAAATTACGAATTTGGTCCTTATGCTTTTTCAAAAAAATCACAAGTTCAGTCCAGTCCCATTGTCGATCCTTAAGTTTGTATTTATGGTCCCCTGTGCTTTACTCAAAATCCCAAGTTCAATCCAAAATTTGAAGTCATTTTATATGGGTCAGGGACCATATCTGATATCAAATACAAACTCAACGACTACATTGGGATGATCTGATGATTTCAAAATATGGACTGAACTTGTGATTTTGGGTCAAACTTAGGGACCATTAATGCAATTTACTCTTAAAATTATGTTAATGAAGTTTACAATAAATTGAAGCATACAAAAAAAAAAAAAAAATACTGATAATTGTGTGTTGTGTTGTGTTGGGCAGAAATCATTCGGGAAAGTGACTATCCAGATTGACCGTGTTGTGATGATGGGAGCAGTGGCGGGTGAATACGCTTTGTTGCCACAAAGCAAAACTGGGGCCTCCCGGATTCTTGAAATAGAATTTCAATGGTCAAACAAGTAAAATTATCTGGCTCATGAGTATATATAGCGAGGTCACACGTTCAGATCTTTTTTTGGTACACACAAAGAATAAATCATAACAAGAAATCACAAGGACATGTTTAATTTTTTCTCTTTTATTGTGCCAAATGGTATATATATTGTCATTATTATCATTTAGTTAATTCTTTTGTAGAATCCATGAGTTGTACAAACCAACTTTATTCTGCCAGTGTGTATTGTATGCTTGTAAGATATTTGTAGCATTTGCTGTTTGAGAATTGAGATACTGAAATTTATTCTTCATTTGGTAAACAAAACCAGGACTGGATTTGGCTATGCTTGATTTCACATTTTCAAACCGGTTGGCTCCTCAAGACCTCAACCTTGCCAAATTACTTTGATTTCAACAGCATAATCAGTTTAAGCCAAATCATAACTACCATACCAAATTTGGACAAATTTATTATATTGATCATATTTCTAACTTTTTATTTACCACCTCATTTAATGTATATTCTCTAGGTTAATGTTTTAATCATAACTGGGTAACAACTTTCATATGTAAAACTTCAAATGATATTTATATCTTTATAAAACCTATAATATTACATATATATATAACCAAATACTTGATTAAATTTAATTTAATATATCAAGAAAATAAAAACACTATCTTTAAATTGATTTTTTATTTTTAAGAAAATAATTAACTTATAACAATACATTATACAATATTGCTCATTGTTGCTATGTGGGCTTCCGGCTACTTTGATAGGTGGTTTTCGATAGCCCTTTCTAATGAGTATTTCAGAAGACACGCTGTAAAAGTGGACAACTGTTAGGTTAGAAAGTTATACTGAGGTTAGATTTCGGTGTTGTTCTCTGATGACTAAGTTACACGTTGTATGAAGCTTAAGGAATGAATTGCAAAGAGTCTTAGGTCCTCCTGAGAACTTACCTTACCGTGGTCTTTGAGGGTTTTTAGGCTATTCCCATTAGCAATCCAATCCAACCTAGTTTTTCTATAAAAAATCTATTTCTCTCTCTTCCACATATACAACTTAATCCAATCCAATTATAGCCTAAACCTATTTTTTATTTAATAAATATAATTTATGTTTGTTTTTAGTTTACTAAAACTACTAGAAATATTAAATCTAAATATTTTATTTCAAAACAAATAAATAATTAATTTAAATATAAAATTAAATAAAAAGGATTTAGAAATAAAGGATTCGAATGGGATATGAAATATGAAATATGTATATATTATACAAGACAAAAAATACAAATTTTGTTTTTTTTTTTTTTTGGTTATATTTTTACTAAGATAACATTTGTTATTTAAAAATAATAAGTTTTATCTAAAAAATATATTAAACAACCACTTCAAAATTGAACACATTTAACAAATTGATAAGGAAAATGGGCGTGATCTTTGTTGTGTTAGGTTGCTCCCGTGGCTTAGGCCACCAAAAATAAATTAATTTTATTTTTTATCTTTCTTAAAAATCCAATGAACGGCTCATCAAAACCTCTCAATGGGGGTAGCCTTATAAACATTTTATTATTGGGTATTTGGTTTTTTACGGTTTTTTTCCATGGTAAAGACAATTAATAGGTTGTGTACAACCTTTATATTTTATTGCCAATATCTTATGTATACATGAGATATGTCTCGTATATTGTTGCTCATCTGCTATGCATTGATATTGCCTTTGGGTTAAGTTCCGACAACAGTCTTTTGTCGCTTTGTTGGAATGGGTTGCGATCAGCCAGATAGATATGAACCTAATACCTACTGGATACGGGCTGGTATTGGGTTGAGCTAGGTGGTTGCCTCGAATACACCATTAACCTTCTCCTGCATTACTGTTCTCAACCTATTTATTTTATGAATACTTATAAAATATTGACACATACATTGAAATTAGTTTTTTTTGGGATTTTATCTGTAACTAAAGAACAAAATTATTTAAAGAACCAGATGAAGAACAAAATTATTTAGAAGAGAATAATCGGTCTCCTAAATCGAATGTATGAGATAAAATATATTGTTTAGAAGAGAATAATCCTTACAAAATATTGACAGCCAAGGTGTTAATACTAAAGGCTCATAAACCTCCGGTGCAAGATTTAAAAAGCAAAAGGACCATCCATGGTAAAAAAAAATAAAAAATCAAATTTTGGACTAAAAGTGTAGATTGGGCGAAATATGGCGACCAAAATGTAATTTACTCTTCTTTTTTTTAGTTAAGCTTTGTTTGAATGTCATGGGATCACGATATAAGCGTTGAACGACCACTTTTCCCGCCGGTGACGCTTTCATTCTTCTCCGATCAGTAAACTCTACCTAATCATCACACAGCCACTGTCGCCACCGTCTTCTCCGAAGTCGAGTACCTGCACGAATTCAAATCTGTCCTCGCACGATGTCCATATCGCGTTCTGGTGGTCAAGGGACGAGCGAAGTTGGCAATGTCGATTTCCTTAGGATCTGCGATGGCCTATGCTACGACTTATCGTCTCTACAAGAGCTCGCCTGCCGTGGCGCATGGAGATCGGTTCTCGATAAAGTCGCTCAAGCACGTTCCAAATCTCTCCTCTCTAAACCTCACGAACATCTCATTTATCTCTCCTACAACGCCATTGCTCTGACAAAACTCCGCCGTTTCTCTGAAGCAGTCGCCGAGCTCGATTTGGTGGAAAAAGGCCTCGATATTTACAGGTACGAAACTTATCCACATCATTACCCTAATCGCCATGGCTCCATGGCCCCTTTTGTCCTCCGTTGGTTGCACGCTGAACTCCCTTCCAAATTAGGAAGACGTCAAGAAACTTTAGATCGATTCTACTTGTTACTACAGTTCATTAGGGAAAAATTAACAAAAAATTTGCCAAATGCATCACGTCAAGTGTGGAGTAAACGAGAAGGTTTGGTGATTAATTCGATAATCAGTCATCAATTATGTTATAAAGAGTTCGGAGTGTGTTTGGATTTGATGAAAGACTTGATTAAACGTGATTCAACTCCTGTAGCTCGAGCAATTCTGATGGCGAAGCTAGGGTACATCCAAATGCAATATGGGGATCTGGAAGGTGCTAGGGGGACTTTTGGTTTGATTGAGGGGATTGTGAATGATGGAAATGGAGAAATTGAGATGAAAAATCTTGTGAATAGGAATAAAGCGTTGATGTTTATGGTTGAAAAAGACTATCTATCTGCTGTGAGGGAGTATCAGGAGTGCATAGATAGAGATGGATCAGATGTTGTTGCTATTAACAACAAGGCACTTTGCTTGATGTATATGCGTGATTTGTCTGATTCCATTAAGGTGATGGAGAATGCTTTGGAGAGAATCCCTACAGCTGCATTGAATGAGATATTTGTGGTGAATTTGTGCAGTATGTATGAGTTGGCTTATGTTAATCATTCGGATATCAAGAAGACACTTAGCAGTTGGATTGCTCGTGTGGCACCTGATGATTTTGATACTTCAAGTACTCGCATATGAGGTTCTTTCTTTCTTTCAAAGAATGATTCTTTTAATGCAATCTATTTTTTTGACGTTTTAATGCATATTTTCGTTTATTCTAGCTATATTTGATTTCATGTTAGAGTAAGATTTTGTCAACATTTATGATAGGTTGAAGATAGACAAAATTACATCACTTGTCTATGTGGTTTTCAAAAAGATTAATTTAATTTATCTTTTTTAATTGTTTTAATTATTTTTTTTTAATTTTTGTAAAAAATATTTATCAAGAAGTAAGGAAAAAATAATAACAAAGATATGACTAACATGATCTAAATTATAAAGAACATTTCGACATTGGCTGAAAATGCTTATAGATTTTCTTCTTGTGGGCAGGCATTTTTCATTTGGAAGAAATTCAAGAACATTTGTTCCACTGAAGAATTGGGGGATCCATAAAAGTTTCATTAATGTAACTCATTTGGTTGATGAAATTAAATACAGTATAACTTATTATTTGTTATTTTCTAAATGGAATGGATCTTTAACAGTTTACTATTTTTTTCTATTTGTATGAAGAATGTCTTGATGATAATTTCTCAAGCATAACACTGAAACAATCTCTAAGAATTCAATTCTATCATATGCTTTCACGACGTATGGTTTGATAGGTTATGATAACTTCGATGACATCATAACACAAACGACATGCCATTGTTTTAACCAAAAATGCAATCATAACAAAACTCGATGCCAGATGAAACCAGCAATAGAACACAGATAAAAACGTATGTCTAACAGAATGATAAAACATAAGGTACTCGGTATCAATTTCTATCTGGGATTGTTTAAAAAACCTAACAAAACGAAGCAACACAAGAATCAAAAGAAAAGGAAAATCACTGTGAAACTCCAAGCCACTTGGTGAAAACATCAAACTCAGCATAATCACTATCCGAAATCATAGTCTTATACCATGCCTTGCTAGCTATCTTGATCTCTGCTGCCTCCACCTGTGTTTCAAATTTCAAAGAAACAACATAAAACAACAAATCAAACATCACAAGATAACAATGAAAGGTAACGAAACATACCTTGGTAATTTGTTTTCTCATCCTATCAAGCTTCTCCTTCTTGGACTTCTTCCTCTGTTCCTCAGCAAGCAAAGCCATCCTCTTAGCAGTCTTGGCATAAGGATTCAATCTCAGCATGGTGTTCAAGTTCTTCAATGGGTTCTTCTTCATTGGAGCTCTCTTCACCTCCTTCTTAATTGGCTTCACTACTGACTGCACCTCATCAGAGTTAATAATCCTAGCCAAATCAGCATTCGCCATCTTTGCCCTAGGCAATACGTAACCCCTCTTCTTCTCACTTGTCTTCTCAAACGATCCATAGATCGAATCCAACTTCTCAAACGCAGATTTCGTCCAGATAATGAACCTCCCAAGGTGACCACCTGGAGCTAGCTTCAGCAAATTCAATCTCTCCACATTAGCTACTTCGACACCAGGAATGTTCCTGAATGCTTTCACTAGCTTCGCACCTTCAGTTCCATAAACAATCAATGGTCCTTTCCTGGAAATATACCTCCTGTTCCTCATTTTTCCCTTTCCAGGACGAATTCCAACGGAATCCTTGGCTTTCTCAGCATCAGGAAAAGCTCCGATCTGCTTCAATACCTTGATTGCGTTCTGAGTCTTCTCAACGCCTTCAGCGGAATCGCTAACGACCAACGGAAGCTCAGGAACTGATTCGATACGATGGCCGCGTGCCATAACAAGCGACGGAACAGCAGAAGCAGCGATCGCTGAAACGACTGCGTATCTCTTCTGGTTCACATTGATCTTCCTGTGCCAACGGCGCCAGATCCTGGTAGGTGCGAACATACGACCACCACGACACATGTTACCGAAAGCACCTTGACCGGCACGGTGAGTACCACCACCGGGAACACGGGGGATACGAGATACAGCACGTCCTGTACCCCATGACTCGGCGGAGGTCTGGTGACCGGCTTTTCGGGAAACGGCGTAGGGTTGACGGGAGTTTTTGGAGATGTTGGAGTGGACGAAATTAACAATGTCAGGGCGGATAGAGGCTTTCATTACCTCAGGGAGTGGGAGACTCGCACCGTCGGTAGCCATGTCTGATTCCAGAGCTTGCACGGTGACGAGGGGTCGGGCGGCGGCGGCCATTTCTGTGTGTTGCAGCAACGAAACGAAGGGGATCTCTAGGGCTTTCTTTCTGTGCAGGATTTCAAGTTGTGAGTTTGTTATATATGTGATGTGAATTAGGGTTGGGAAATATGGATTCGGCCCATACTTATTTATATAGGCCTGGGTCTCTATTCAAAACATAAGTTAATACAATAATCTTTTTGGGGTCAGAATTCTAGCTCGTCATTGTTAGAAAAAAACTGGTTTTAATTCGATAGTTCGATATCTCGAGAAACTTAAATATCTCTATTAAAAAGTTGATATATCAAATCTAATAAAAAAAAAAAGAGGTTATTATGTTATATAGGTTTCATTTAAGATTTGGCTCATTAAAATGTACTTCAATTGATAATTTCAATGATATGATATTTGTTAGGGTTAATCGTGAAATTAACTTTGTTTCGATGTCATTTCAATTTTTTTTTGAAACGACAAATATATTAAAACACCAACATCAAGGTGCAGGGGAAACAATACAAATAAAAGAAAAATAGCAGCAATTACAAGCAAAGAAAAGGATTTAAGTTCCAAACTCTCCGGTCTATGTTTTTGAACAAGCCTCTATACTTGCACTAGATGAATGTTGTCGACTTAATTCTTGTCACAGTATTTCCGGAACAAAGGGAATATTTTTGAAAACTCTTTTGTTCCTATCAATCTAAATACACCACAAAACCCCGCAAGATATCGCATTCAACAAGCTTCTTTTCTTTTTGCAGCGTGACCAACGCGATATGAAAGGTACCACATCTTTCACCGATTGAAAACCTCCATACTGGATTTCACACCAAGATAGAATCGAATCCATCACAGTTTTCGCCAATGGACATGATAGCAAAATGTGATCACTTGATTCCTCCTCAAGATTACATGAACCACAAGTGATCGAAGTAACTGTAATCCCCCTATGACTTAACTTGACCGATGATGGGATCCTACCTAGCTTCGCTCTCCATATAAAGTAACGAATCCTGAATGGTACCACCTTACACCACTCAAATGGTCCATCGCATACTACATGACTTGCTAATTTAATCCGTTCGCGTAACATACTTATAGAGAATCGGTTGTCAGTCACGAAATCAGACGCCCAACGACATTCAGTTAAGTCCCAGTTAAAAATTTCATTAGAGTCAATATTAAAAGTCTTTAGGGTAGACCGGGTTTTGACTATGTTCTTCCAAACACCGGTGATAGATTTATTTACTAAGCTAGACCAATGTCTTCTGTCTAAGCCATGAATACACCGAATGATTTTCGCCCACAGGACAGAGTTGTCTGATTTCAATCACCACATCCATTTGGCTAACAAAGACAGGTTGAGACTTCTTATAGAACCAAGTCCTATGCCACCTACCCTTTTGGTGTTATAAGAGTATCCCATGCAACCCAATTAATACTTTTCTTTTCAGTTTTACTGCTTCATATGAACCTCCTTCTGATTTTTTCCAATGTATCAATGACTCCTTTAGGAGCAGCAAAGATAGACATAAAATAAGTTGGGAGACTATCGAGCACCATCTTTGCTAGAGTTAGTCTACCCCCAAAGATAAGGGTATTCGCTTTCCAGGATGAGAGTTTGGAATGTAATTTTTCAATTATCGGCCTCCAGGCTCTCTTCAAGTTCATGTTTTCTCCAACCGGGATACCAAGATAGCTGAACGGAAAAGATGATGGTTCACACCCCAGGGGAGCGGACCAATTTGATACCTCACTAGGGGGTGCTCCAACACCAAAAACTTTATACTTGCTAAAGTTTACTTTCAGCCCGGACGAGACATAAAAGCATCTCAAAATTCTTGCTACATTTGCAATGTTACGCCTTGACCAGTCTTCGATGAATAATGCGTCATCTGCATAAAATATATGTGACAAACAAATGTTAGAGTTTGGGAAATTTATCCCATCAAAACCCCCTTTGTCTATCGTCGTTTCCATCACCAAATGTAACCCTTCCATCGCAATGTTGAAGAAGAGTGGGGATAGTGGGTCGCCTTGTCTCACCCCTTTAGTCATGGAGAATTCTCTTGTTAGGCTTCCATTGATAATTATTGATGCTCTTCCCGAATCCAAATAGTTACGGATCCAGTTTTGCCATTTGATATCAAGGCACATTTGTTCTATAATTGAATCCAGAAAAACCCAATTCACAAAATCAAAAGCTTTGTTAAAATCCACCTTAAACAGTAGCAACTTTCTCTGTTTCTTTTTTTGCCGAGGAACAGAGTTCATTAACCACAAGGGACTTTCCATAATATTCCTTCCTTCCACATAGGCGGATTGAATCTCGTTGATAACACTACCAATAACCTTCTTTAGTCTAAGGGCTAACAGTTTTGCAATAATTTTGTAAAGTGATCCAATCAAACTTATAGGTCTGAAATCACTAAAGTGAATTGAATCTTTGGATTTGGTGGATAGGGAAATAAATGAAGAATTGCATCCATTAGTAAGCTTGTTTCCAGCTTCAAAGTATTTAACCAACCCTACAATATCGGCTTTTAACAAATCCCAATGTTTTTTGAGGAATTTGAAAGTGAAGCCATCTGGCCCCGGGGACTTATCACCGCCACACAGCCATACTGCATTTTTTATTTCTCCCAATGAAAACTCTCCTTCCAAAAAGTGAGCATCAACTTTAGAAATCTTGTGAAATCCAAAACTACAAAACAAGGGTTTGTTTGGCCAAACTTCTTTATATTTCTCTTCAAAGAATATGGCAACTTCCCGCTTTATCATATTCGAATCCGCGGTCCAACCTCTACTGGTCATAATCCCTTGGATGTGATTTTTCTGGTTCCTGTTATTAATGTAACCGTAAAAGAAACGCGTATTTTCATCGCCCTCTACCTCCCATTCCAGTTTTACTCTTTGTTTCAGGTCCATAGTTGTGAGTTTAGTTTGTTCAACGATCTTAACTCCACCTATTGATCTTTCTTCAATTTTCGTTGTGGTTAGAGGCTTGGTGTAACAACGTGAATTTCAAAAAAAAAAAACAAATTTTCATTTTTCAAGCACAATAAAACGCATACAATATTCTCATAATCTCATGTTTATCAGATGTCATCACAATAAAACATATCTCAGAATCTCAAAAATGTAATCTTCTGCCAGTGTGTATAAATCATGATGGCCCCTTCCCGTGATCCTCGGTAGTACCTGAAACACATATCACATAACATGGTAAGCATAAATACTTAGTGAGTTCCCCAAAATACCACATACAACACATAAGCCACTCGAGGCTATAACTTAGTATGACCCTCCGGTCAATGTGTCTCAGCGGGACCCTCCAGTCCCATAGCTCGTTGGACCCTCCGGTCCGGTCTAGCTCGTTGGACCCTCTCATCCGGTCTAAATCATTGGACCCTCCGGTCCGGTCTAATCGAGGACCCTCTGGCCTCATAAGTCGTTGGACCCTCTGGTCCGGTCTATATAACACATAGCATACATTTAACATGATGTACATAATCTTATACACATAAGACCCTCTGGTCTGCACATAGATACCACTCTAGGTAATGTATAGTGAGAAGACTCACCTCAGTTATCAGGTAACCGACAAGCACTCAGTATCTTGGACTAGCCTCTGCCTAACACATAAGACAAGCATCTCAATCATTATCCGTCTTATTACTCTTTACACCTTAAGTCTAGTTTTCCTCTTTTGACCTTCAGGATGGGTAAAAGACCATTTTACCCCTCTTTGGCCCCACCTACCCCCTTACTGGCCCACTCATGAAGTCAACAGAAGTCAACATAGGTCAACATTCCATGCTGATCTGACTCGCCGAGTCCCCTCGAATTCTCCATGATCTTCGTAGGGTTCTCTCAGCTCACTGAGTTGACTCCCAACTCGATGAGTCAACACTGGCCAAGGCTATTGGGTCACACTTGCCATAACTCATCGAGTCATCCCATCGACTCGGCGAGTTGGCTCCATTGGATTGCTCATTCAGCCACATGAGGTCAAATCTGCAGCCCTAACTCATAGATATAACCTCCTACTACCCCAAAGTCGCGTAAAGGTCCGATCTTGATGTCCATGCATGGTGTATTTTGCATTATAAATCATAAAAACTCCATTAATGGTTCCTAGCTTCAAAGTCCAATGATTGCTCCACCATGGCTTCTCATTTTCGGACTCTCTGGACCCTCCAAGGTCCAGATCTATGCTACCAGCTCATAAGAAGGGTTTGATGCATTCAAAACCCCACCAAGAAGGTAATACAATCCCTAATCCACAAAAGAAAGATCTACTCAAATAGGGAAGAAAGTGGATCCAAATTGATACCTCCAACTGATGCTCCTTGGTTGTAAATCGCATATCTACAACCTTCTCTGGCCCCTTTGGCTTGAAACCTTCCTCTTCCTTGCAAGACACCCACCAAGAAGCTCCACATCTCTCTCTCTCTCTCTCTCTCTTTCTCTCTCTCTCTCTCTCTCTCTCTCTCTCTCTCTCTTGCCCAAAGCACTCAGGACTCGTTTAGGGTTCTCTCCTCTGAAGGGTAGCCGCAATAGGAGACTTTAAGTGCCTTTAAATAGGTCCCAAACTCTGGAGTTAGGGTTTCTCTGCCCAGCACCTACTCGGCGAGTCCTTCCCCTGACTCGTCGAGTCTACTCATTAAACCACAGGAGAAACACGACTCGACTCGGCGAGTTGGACCCTCAACTCGTCGATTCTCTCCTTTAATACCAAGTTTAACATACACAATCATATCCCTGAAAATCCGGATGTCACACTTGGATTCTGTTGCCAATTCAATATTAACCATTCTTATTTTCAGTGAATTTAACTCCATGTTCTCATTTCTCGCCACATTTGATTTCCAGCATCTGATGGGTTTCTTTAAGAATTTTAATTTATTAAGAAGGTACACATCAGGAGTACCGAACCCCTTAAACTCAATGCAAGCTTTCCTAACGACCGCATCAAAATCATCATTAAGCAACCATAAGTTATACAGTTTGAATGGAGGGGGACCAAAGTCGTCACACCTAGCCCTTAAGATAATAGGCGAATGATCAGAGAGATCCCTTTCCTATAGCGAAGCAGGAAACAAGGGGATATAAAGATAAGAAACGATTGCACACCAAAAACCGGTCTAACTTGCTCAATTTAGCACCCTGAGTTTTAAAGAAAATGAATTTTTGACCGCCCATCTTCAAGTCATTGAGTTCAATATTCCGTATGAACTGGTTGGAAGCATTTGCATTAAGTGGGCAAAAATGGAATTTATCCTCTCCTCTGGTCGGCAAACCACGTTAAAGTCGCCCATAAGAATCCAAGTAGTTTGATCTAGAGGTTTTCAACGCTAACAGTTCCTACCATACTTTCGATTTCTCAGTCACTGATTGAGGACCGTAGATGTTTACAATGCCAGTTAAGCACCCAGTATCGCAATGAAGTACCTGGATTTAATAACCTCTAATAATGAAAACATTTTATTGCTCCAAATTGATACTAGACCACTTGATCTTCCCATGGTATATACTTGTTCGAATCTGCAATCTGAATCGCCCCAACAACTTACAACATTGAGAGGAGGAGACGAATCACCCAATTTAGACTCTTGAATACCAATCATACATAGATTGTGTTCCATTCGAAGCCTACGAAACCAATCAACTTTGTGTTTCTCTCATAGACCTTGAATATTTAAATTCATGATATTCATTGGTTTCTTTGATTCTCACTAACGTCGCCAAAGGCCTCCTTGAGAATTGGATTGTCAATCTCTACTTCAAAGCCTCTGCATATTACCAACCATAACCATGTTTATGATTTCTGACGAGGAGGATGGAGTGTCAACCTCCAAGTCTGGGAGATAATTTTGAGAAGGAATTGGGACTCTATTGAGATCGATAGAAGCATTTGTCACCGGGGAGACTGACGAGTTCGAGGGGTTAACCGTGAAGTTTCTCAACACTCTCCTTCTTTTATCTTGGGCGTTGTCAAAATTCACCTCTGACCCATCTAGCTGCATGTCGTTTGAGCCCAGGTTGTTTGGGAAGGGCCCAAAGCAACCAGATCTAACCAGGTTATCCATAGGCCCACATACTTCATCTGGTCCCACATTTGTCTTTCCCACGTCAACTAAAGAGGGATCATTAATTGGTATCATATGTACCACCGCATTAATGTTGTTGCTATTGTCTAGATTTTCACTCTCCACCTGTATATTCCCATGCACGTTAATTCCGACATCCTACCTTTGAGGTTCCACTGGTGTGACATTTCCGTTATCCTGACCATCGACTTCCATTACGTCTTCCAACGGTGACGACGACACCGCCAAGGTATCAGTTTGTCAGTTGCATTTGAACACAATTCCTCCAAATTTGATTCATGGACCAGTTCATCTTCAGTGGATCTTATCTTGCCTTCCTTTCAGCTCTACTTCATTGTTCCATACAGAAATAGTATCCGAGATACTATCTTCCACATTGTCATCCTTGTCTACATACATGTCTCTTCGGACGATGAAATCTCGTCCTGGGAATATCTTCTAGCCTTGAATAGAGCCCAATCGATGTCTACCTCTAATATTCCAATTTTGTTGATTTTAACGCTTGCTTCAACCAAATACTTACAACTAATACGCGAAATGGTAAATGTAAGAATGCCGATTTTACCAAAGAAAAGGTTCACAACCGCTTGATCCACCGCAAATGGGACGACCACCTGACCATACGACTTGGTGATTGACGTAAAATTTTCCTCATACCAAAGTTCTGGCGGGAGACCCATGATTTTTATCCAGGTAAATCTTTCAAAGTTAATTGTCGCAATGTCACCACTATCTATATTTTTAAACCATTCCATCCACCCCATCATGAAAGCATTCCTACTTACCAGATCTTTAAACTTGACTCCAATTCTTAACCCACCCATGTATTTTATCTCACATCCCGATCCATCACAGTTTTTAAATGAGTATGGTACTTTTTCAAGATGGTCAAAATTATGAAGAATACCTATTAGCGTGTGATTGTCGTTGACCCATCCATGAAGTGAGTCTAATATAGTTAGAAGGCCGTTGGGATTGGGGGGGGGGGATCTGAACAGACTTAAATCTACCTGCTGTGACACCAGCGTAAGATTTGTTATCTCTAATGTGAGATATTGATACCTGTGGAAATCGACTTTGGATCCGACACACAACATTCTCCTGATTGGCTGGACCACCAATAGGTTTTCTCTCATACATCGAAAGGTTTACCTCTAGAAATCTCCCATCACATTTGATTCCTTGAAGGGCCTTCTCCAGCCCATATTCTTCATCTACCTTTTTTAATCTTACAAACGCAAAGTACTTTATGTTCACATTCTTCTTCGTCGCCATATACACATCGACTACGTCTCCAAATCTAGTAAAGAGCTTTTAAAAGGATTCCTTTCTGACCTATGCTGTGAGATTCAATATAAACATTGTTGTAACACCTTCATGTTTCCATCTGGGATGATCGTCGATCCTCAATAATCGCTTCCATCGTCTTCGTTCTGCCTCCGTCCATTCACCTTCCATCCAGAGAGTTTCCGCGATAGTGGAAGTATGAAAAGTATCCTGAAATTTTTTAAATATTATAATAAGTTTATTTATTCTGATATGGTTAAATATGAAATTTTTTTGCATTTAATTGGGAGTAGAATACAGAAGGTCAACGAAAGGTTTTTGATGTTGTGGTTTTGACTACTTTTTGGTGTTTATGGAATTTTCCTAATTTCATTCCTTTTGGAATTTTACCTACGAAATTCTTTCTTTTAATTATGTGATAGATATGGTGTTTTTTTTTTATATTTTCAATAATTATAGCAAATTTAACACCCAAAATCAGAAAGTCCAAGAAAGGAAAGAAAACCCTAAGTCAAAGGGTTAACTCGTTAAGTCCGGGGAGGAACTCGACGGGTCCGAGCGGGATCCGGGTCGAGGAGTACGTGACCGACTCGGCGAGTCCGGTCTAAACAGGGAAACCCTAAATCCGGGACTTTGTGCACTATTTAAGCACCTCATTCTCTTCCTTAGGGTTCCTTTACACCTCTTCTTATCCAGAACATCGAACCCTAGCCACCATATCCGTTTTTGAGCAAAGATCTAGCCTTGGTGATGTGATTTGAAGCTTGGAAGAGAAGGAAGTTCATAGTGGTGCAAGAAGAAGCCTTGGATCTAGTGTTGGTGTGACTTTTCAGAGCATTTGAAGGTAAGAGGTCATTACCTTCACTCCTTTGCTCATAGTTTCCTTTTTGTCATGAGCTTTGGGGCTTTTATGCCTTGTCCTAGAGCCAATTGGAGTTAGAAGTCCAAATCAGAAGTTGCTACTTCAGATCTAAGTGTATTCTAGCCTAACGAGTCATAAAGTATCAGTCTTGGGGGTGTAGGCGAAGCATGTTTGTCTTAAACCCGAGTATGGAGTGTTTTGGGCCTAGATCTCCTTAGCTACACGTAAAGTTTGCAACTTTACATGAGGAATAGGCCTTGGAAGAGTGGATCTATGGTTTGGAGTCCCTGCATGACTCAAAAGCCTCTGAATGCATGAAGGACTGAATAGACTCGGCGAGTCATTCAAGTGGACTCGGCGAGTAGCATGAAGATTGGGAAGAACTCGACGAGTTAGATGAATAACTCGGAGAGTCTGTTGAAGTTTGCCTTGGACTCAGAGAGTCTGTTCTTGGACTCGGAGATTCAGGTTGCGAAACCCCAAACCCTTCTAGTTAAGACTCAGATCAGTGAGTTGGGTGAAGACTCAGTGAGTTGGACAGGACAGAACTCAGAAATCAATAGACTCGGCGAGTCGAGTCGCGAATGAAAGGGTTTCAGAGCTTATGAACTCGGCGAGTCAGTAGGCTGACTCGGCGAGTAGAGTCAACCTGGAAAGTTGACTGTGACTAGGACTTTGACTTTGACTAGAGTGACTTAGTTGACTTTTGAAGGACTGTCAGACTAAGTATCATTTTGATATTGGTAGCTCAGAGAGCTAGAGGAGCAGCGACTCAGAAGGTTGTCGGTTAGCAGCCAGAGGGTTATCAGCAGAGCTCAACAGTTCAGGTGAGTTACCTTCCAGTAGCGGTGGGTCTAAGGCCACAATGTCGGCCCACTAGTAGGAGACGTATGATAGATGATTGTCTTTGTGATATCATCTAGGTTTGTTACTACCTGATATGTTATATGCTAGCATGATATGTTGTATGTTATAGTAGTAGAGTTCGGTCGTTATGACCGAAGGGTAGTCAGACACCCCAGGTACGTCTGACAGTATGTGATGACATGTTTGCATGCTGGCTTCTTGTGTTATATGCGATAGAGGTAGGAGGAGGGGACTAATCCCCGAGTTCGGTTGTTAGGATCGAAGGGTAGCTCAGGCACCCCAGATATGTCTGATAATATGTTTATGTTATATGTGATAGTAGTAGTAGGGGGTGAAATAGTCCCTGGGGTTCGGTTGTTAGGACCGAAGGGTAGTCTGCACCCCAGAATGGCTCGACATGGGTAGGTCAGCGCCCCAGAATGGGTTGACACAGGAAGGACGGCACCCCAGAATGGCCGCACGGGTAGGTCGGCACCCCAGAATGGTCGTACCGGGTAGGTCGGGCACCCTAGAAATGTGTGGCAGTATGTATGTGATATGATTGTATGGTATGTGTACGATGGGGGGACTCACTAAGCTTCATGCTTACAGTTTTCAGTTTTGGTTTCAGGTACCTCTTCATGCTTATGAGATGTTCTGGGATTGTACTCTGACATTATTTTTTTTTCTTGTTTTAGGTTTTCAGACACGTAATATGTTTTATGAAATGATATGATCGGATGATGTTTTGCTATAAATATTTTACAAACCACTTATTTTAAATGAAATTTTTGGTCGTGAAAATTGGGTTGTTACAAGTTGGTATAAGAGCCCTGGTTTGAGGGATTCGGACACACCTTCGAGAGTGTCTGAACTCAAGACGAGGGATTAAAGGATTTCGAAAAAGAAAAAGTTTTCTCAAAGATTAAGTAAAGAGTTTTAAGAAAGAACGAAGTGTGTGATGTGCGCGACCGGCCGAGCTCAAGTAAGTACTCCCAAATTACCCATACAAGTTTATGATTACCAGTTTTAGTTTCAGTTTCAGTTTCAGTAGAACAACATGCTAGTATAGGACTAAGGATCTAGGAGGATTCCTTATGTGCCTGCTTATGTGTTTCAGCCTTATGAGAATTACATGCTAGTATTGAGTATACAACAGTAGGATAGCCTGTTTAGGTTATGCTTGATAGTATGAGTTCAACATTGTATGCTAGTACAATTTCTTGATTACGAGAATAGTTTGCATGAGTATGTTTCCTTTATCCGAATACTGCTTGCTCTGTGCTTAGTGGGACTCTGAGTGATGGGAGTTAGCCATTAGGTGAATACGTCACATCACATGTGATTAGGGTTGAATAATCTCAGAGTGTTGGATTTGGCCCTATTGCGCAACTCTCGTCTGAGTCTAACCGTTGTGGGGACGATTATTTTACTCGAAGGATTATCTGAGCCTCGTCACATGTGATGGTATTTAGGTGGTGGTTAATTGGCATTACGAGGAGGCCTTCAGCAGCTGAGGACTGTTTGGGTGGAGTCAGAGGTTCCCTAGGGCAAACCTAGGATGAGAGTAGCAAGGATTAGCAGTAGAGAAAAGGGACTTGGTGGAGTTGAGGTAACTCTTGGGGCTCGTCTAGAGCATGATGCTTATGGAGTTCAGGGATCTATCAAGGAGGGAGTTCCCATTTTTAGCTCTTACCATCAGGGAACAGGTGTGAGTGGGGAACCCTGTCTCCAGGAGAGACCCTTGCATGATTGGGTAGTTGACGAGGTTTCGCAAGTCATTCGCGAGGATTTACCCAACATCATTGGGCGGTTGACCGCTAAGTTCCAGGGACAGTCAGCTACTGTTCATACGGTTGATGGAGTAGTCGGGGTCACTCGAGAGCAGGATACTGGTTTGGATGTGCAGCTCGGGAAAAGGAAGTGTGCTCGTATCGTAGGATGATTAGGAAGAAGTGTGGAGTCCTACTCAGCTGACGTGGGAGCTGGAGTTCAGGTGTTTCAAGTGCGGGGAAATGGGGCATGTGTATCGGGATTGTAAGCAGGATCAGAGATGTTTTCATTGTCACCATTTGGGTCATTTCAAGTCTCTCTGTCCCGTCTTGGTGGTGGAGAGAGTTCAGGGTCAGGCGCCCATCGTCCCGCAGAAAGTCAAGATCGAACCGCACTAGATCGCAGGTATGTAGTTTGAATTCTTCCCTTTTTGGTGGTGACTCTATTATTATGATACTGCATCGATGTTAGTAAGCATGTATTTGTGAATATTATATTGACTGTTTGTGATTGAGTATATGCCAATTGCATACCTTGGATGTTAGAATGATAGTTGGAGGTCATCCCATCTAGAGCAGATTACTCCGGATATAGTAACTGTAGCATGTATGTGTAAGATTCAGTAGTACCTCACTACTTTCAGAAAGTGTCATTTGGGTTTGATCAGTTATATCCTCAGTAGTGACAATTTAGAGCTTCTAGTGGGGTAGCTATCGGACAATAAGGAAGTGGGTTGGAGCTATACACCCTAAACGCAGGTTCTCAGGATGCAGTCACTAAAGCAAATACGCTAAAGGACTGAAGAGTGCTCGGTTAGTTAACAAGAATGGTTCGGATCTGGTAAGGATTAGTTGGAGCGCCAACAGAGGTAATTGTGGGCGGGCAGTGGATTGCCCCTTTTCATGGAAGGAAGGATGGGGAATCCTTTTGACCAGTGAGTAGTAAGTAGTTAGCCGGATCTAAGTGGGGGAGAACCGTCTGAGTATACAAAGGTAAGAGTATGCAGACTCTGAGAAGAAAAGATAGTAGTGGAGTTTTGTAAGTCTGCGGGGGTAACCGTAGCATTCACTAGCAGTCAGATAGTAGTAGAGTGTTGTAAGTCTGCAGGGGTAGCCGTAACATTCACTAGCAGTCAGATAGTAGTAGTGTTGTAAGTCTGCGGGGGAAGCCGCAACATTCACTAGCAGTCAGATAGTAGTAGAGTGTTGTAAGTCTGCGGGGGTAGCCGTAGCATTCACTAGTAGTTAGATAGTAGTAGAGTGTTGTAAGTCTACGGGGGTAGCCGTAGCATTCACTAGAAGTCAGATAGTAGTAGAGTGTTGTAAGTCTGCAGGGGTAGCCGTAGCATTCACTAGCAGTCAGATAATAGTAGTGTTGTAAGTCTGCGGGGGTAGCCGTAACATTCGCTAGCAGCCAGATAGTATTAAGGAGTTGTAAGTCTGCGGATGTAGCCAGGGCATTCGTTAGGTTAGTAGTCAGCATGAGCGCGTTGTTTGGACGCGAGGGAAGCAGTAGTACCCACCAGTTAGGGTGCAGCAATGAGGATATGAGAATCCACGGGTTGGATTTCGTATTCCCAAATGGTTCAGCTATGGTTAAGTCGGCGATTTGTTAGTGGATCGTCACCACAGTTATGAGATCAGGGAAGTGACTTACCGCTTGGGTTTGTGTATGTTATGGGCTACCGTTA